GTACAGCGGTGGTACATGAGCAATGAGGCTCTTGGTCAACCGGTGGAGTACAACAGTAAGTAAAAAGGTAGGTGCTCTTGCCAGAGCTGACATATCGAAGCAACAGAGGAGAGATTGCGAGAGACGTCTGCTCATTGACAAAGAATGAACAGAGCGTGGATAGACGTACTCTCTAGCGCACAATAAAACTTGAGAAGAACATATTTTAATATCTGTAGGTCAGGTTAGTGAGATCTGAAAAAAAGAAAAGTCAAGCAAAGCCCGCAAGGCGTAGGCCACTCTCTCGTTCACTATCCATGGATTTACCATTATTTAAGCGGTGCGCTGTGTGCTACATTTATTCTACGTCAATTATGCGCATCAAATTCTAGGCCCTTAGACTATTGTAATTCTAGTCTAGCCTGTTCGTTAAACGCGTACTATATAGTTATAGACATACTCTTCATGGGGCGATCTAAGAGGGAGGGGACTGGGAGTGCCACTTATTCTCTGCTCTCACCATCCGATGGTCAAAGATTCGCGCGTCACTAGTGCTCGGTCTAACTAGGATTATGAGCCGCGCGAGTGTTATGCTCCATTTGTTTGAGTTGTCTCCGGGCTCGGCTGACTGACCGCTGGACAGAGACAGCGGCACCCGCGCGATTGACACCTAAGGCCAAAGAAACGCAACCACATTACACATCATTGGACTAACGATCGCACTCCACACCTATAGCGTGATGTTTGTAGGATATGGTTAGTGAGCGCAGAATACGTTTGCGCGCGAACAAAGATATGCGAGTCCTACATGCACGCGTCCACTACGTTGAGAAACGATTTGCCGCTCACAGACCTAATCACCTACTATGAGGTGCAACACAGAAAGGTGCGGCTTGAGGCAGTGGAGTCCTTTCCTTGATAGTACTTGTGTTTGTCGACGTAAACCAGCAGCTAACCACGTAGCACGTCGACTTTTGTCTGTATTGACGCCCAATGCATTTAAATTGTTCATTTTTCCATTTCTTTATTCTGCTTGAGTTTTTGTCAATCAGAGCTTACTTTTGTACCATATTGTAGTCCGAGGTTATTGTATGAACAGTCTTTCCTGGCAAACACGCTTGTTTAATTGTGTTTGCACACTTAGTTGTTAGGTCAATCACTCAATCTAACGTCCTTTAGCACTTTGTAAAATTGATAGTTACATAGAGAATCTTGCCAGACACTAAAATAGACTATAACAATATATGTAAATAAGTCTGGTAGCACTGTTGTTGGTATTATTGCAATAATCTATTAAAACAATGCATGAGAATAACTATGGTATAGACAACACACAAATTATCTAATAAAGATGTATGTAAGTCTAAGATTTATAAGATGTAATAAACCTTCAATACATAGTCTCCTCGCGCACACTGTTTGTTTCAAGTTAGTCACAGACACTAAGAAAGTGGACAAAGAGATACAGTTGGGCAATCAGTGCGCGCCGCTGCAGCGCATTCCTGTGCACTAGATACACCATGGACATTCCGCGCTCAGTGGGCCAGACTATTGCCAGTACTATCAACTTAGTACGGCTGCCCTACACCTAGTGTGTGAATGTCGAGAAGTGAAATTAGTAAATTATATAACGGCTATAATTTTGAGTCATAAAGCGCTTTGCTATCGGAGTATCCATTGTAAGCCACAACTGTCGAAGCTATGCATTACCTTAATGATGTAGGTGCTAAACTATCACAGTTTAAAATTATTAATTTAATATTATGAGTTAATAAAAGAATCTAAATAGATTTAACAATTTTATATATCTCGCGAACTTAGATGTCTAATATGATGGACTCACTTCACTATCATTTTATGTTTTCATTGTAATTCATATACTCTTCACACATGAGATTCAAGGAGTATATGCCATGAGCAGTGCAGCTTTCAGATATCAACTGTTGCGAACTGATGTAAATGACGAGGGGTCTGAAGTATAAGAAAATAGTAAGATATGTCTACTACTTCCGTGGATGAATTTGGCTGCGTCGCCCAGAACTGAGGACAATTAAACCGGTCCACCCAAAGGTGTGAGAAATGAACGCATCCCTTAACCTGTATGAGTTGGATGACAATTATACCAATATAAATCAATGTAGTCAGAGCTCATGGTAATCAGGTACATGAGTTTCTCTGAGATTTTCACGAGTTACACCTCGAATTGCGGAATAGAGTGGAACTCCCTGGACTTATAGGATACCATTATTCGATCACCCAAACCACACAATCTAGTTGTGTGGAGACTGTATGGAATATCATGGAAACGAAAGAATCACTTCATTCTAGACCTATGTATGACTTCTAGTTCACACCACATATATGAACCCATTTTATCGGATCCAAAAACGCATTCCGACACGCAGCGCGCAAACATCACAGTCCAAATGTACAACGCCACCACAATAATGTCTGTCTATGAAAGCTGTTGACAAATCAAATCTAGTGTAAATTAGTCTTACCTCAGACCAGCACTGTCATTATACCCAACAAACGATTAATTACAAATCAGTTTAGATCACTATAGACTACTGACACATCTCCCATCTATCTGAGCACACGCAAACAATATTACATGATTGGGCTCGCTCCTACAGACTAATAGATAGGATGCAAGGCACATAAAGGCCATTTTATAATATAAAGACAAATACAAAATCGCGCTGAATGTCTCTCTCTCAAAACAATGTCTTAACCTTGCATACATTACATCGCGCTCTTCTAGAACAGTATTAGATTATTTCAATATACAAGATGGACACTCTGAGACGAAGAGCAAAAAGATCCACCTACACACGGCAGATGTTGTACACATTTCACTGCGGACAATCATAAGTATCCAGTCATTTCTGTATAAATGTTCTTATTTTATGACGTTCTGGCTTATTATTTACAGTTTGTTGACACCTCTTAATTCTCTTCTCTAGCGTAAGAGATTATGGCAGATCGATCACTCTCTCGGTAATGCAGAACTACTTCTATTACTGCGATACACACATGTCGCTCTATCCGTAATTCTCTATGAGATACACTTTGTTGAATAGCGCGCGCATCGATGCGAAGGTGTTGAGCACATAAAAGCTAAGTCATCTGATTTACCTATGCATCAGTCTCCTTGAGTGGTGACTGTAAGTAGCTCCTCACACCTTGTCTTTGAGATGTGGAAATAGTACCAGTCCTGAAGACTCCTGAAGTGTCCGCCTCTGAACTATTCTTTATAAAACACGGAGAGATGAAGTTTAGAAGGGAGAGAGAACAGAGAGAAAGTCCAGTCCTGAAGCCTGAAGTGTCCGCGGGGACAGAAGGAGGCGGACTTCCTGAACCTGCTAAGATCCACCTGCCCGCAGCTGGCCGGAGACAACAAACCTTTTGACATCTTAACGTTGGACAAGAAGCGTAAATTACAACCTCTGAAACTGGAGACGCTGACGCCAGAGGAGATCCACAGAAGCATTATGGGATGGGGGCGGTCTACGGTCTACATTCGACTGAAGGTAGTTTAGACTCTGTAACCTTTGAGGTGGAACAGCACTTTTTTTTATTAAGCAGTATTTCTTTTACGTTGTTAGCGCTGAGTGTTTGTTTTTGTTTTTGTTTTTTGTTTTTCAGACTCAAGAGGTGCATCAGCCCAGAGAAGAAGACCTTCATCGTCTTCAAACTGAAAACATGAACTCTGTTGTCTTAACTAATGATGAGACCAGACAACAGACGAGGTAACTCACAAAAAAGCATCGCCTAGTGATGTAAAATATCTGGACAGTCAACACATGTTTTGGATGTTACGGATCGGCTCGTGATTGTTGCTCCAGTTCATCCCATTCGTGTTGGATTAGGTTGAGTTTACGACACAGCCACACCAAACTGGAAAAATATTTTATTAAGGTTCTGGTTTTGTAAATTTGGAGATTATCATGTTTCAATCTGGAAAGTGAGACGTCCCAAACATGTGTCAGTGAGGCGTTATGTGAGTAGTGAGGCATGAAATATAACCAAAGAAATGCAAATGGAGTACCAAATTGGTGGATTTGAAGGTTTCTTGGATGCTAAAATCCAGTCATCTGGAACCCATTTTCTAGTATGCTGACTTAGTCACTGGAGCAAGTGTCAATTTTTGGGGGTATCATTGAATAGCCGGCAGATATCCAAGCTAGGGCTTCCTGTTTTGTTCACCAGCCAGCCTTTACAAGCACAAAGTCATTGTCAGCTGATGACCATTAGGGGCTTTTGGTGACCCTTTGTGTCCAGTGATTATTTAGTCCAATCAAAATTTAGGCTCAGCTGGGAAAACAATGGGATAAGCCTGGCTTCTGTCAGTCTGCCCCAGGGCAGCTGTGGCTACAACTGTAGCTGCCTCCACCAGTGTGTGAATGTGAGAGTGAATGAATAGTGGCATTGTAAAGCGCTTTGAGGGTCTTGAAAAGCGCTACATAAATGCAATCCATTATTATTATTATTATTATTATTATTAAGATAAGAATAAAACAATTCTGCTTTCAAAGAGGCTCTTCTACTTTGTTCTTGTTTTCTTCAGGATCAAAGTGCAGCAGGAGCTTCAGTCCTGTTGAGGAAGAGGAGGGTGAGAAAGAAGAGTCTCATGAGAATCTGCAGACTGCGGACATAACCGGTCCATCAAGGTTGAAAATGAACCATCCTTACCTGTATATTGGATGATTTCCATTTTAATATTGGCCATTTCAGACTGTAATTAGCCTGTGGATGATCTCTGTCTTTAAGGTCTTCACCACACCAGTGTGAGACAGAAAGAAGAAATCTTGCCAGAGCTCAGAACCACATAGACCTCAAGATCAGCATCCTGGAGCACTCTCAGACCAGCCTGCTCTTGAAAAATGGTAATAAGTATTTCAATGTAATAAAAAGTATAAAAATTATATATATATATATTATATGTTAAAAAATGGTAACAAGTTAATTAACTAGCCCCTCCCACAACCCTTTCTTGAGCCACAGCACATTTTTGTAGGATTAAAAGTATCCTGCAGCACATCGCCACCCAAAAATGTTACACACGACAGATTGCAGTGGCAATTTAGTTTCTCACTTTATTTATACTCAGTGTACTCACAGTCTCTCTCTATTTTTAGTTTTTATGGCAGCCATGCTTGAAAAGCCCAGGGTTACTCTTAGTAGGCAGTAGTTAATGCATTCACATACTTGAGCAACTATCAAACCTCCACATGGGAGCAATGAGGCGTTACGCTCCGTTTCAAGTTCCTCACGTTAAGTCGGAAATACAGTGGTTCCTCGTTTATCTGGGGAATTACGTTCCAAAAATAACCCGCGATAGGTGAAATCTGTGTAGTAGCCAGCTTTATTTTTTACAGTTATTATAGATGTTTTATAATAACTGTAAAGAAAAAAACAGCATGCAAAACTGCACAAAAAAAAATCCGCGAGTCCGCGAAAAGTGAACCGCGTTATATCGACGCACCACTGTATGCGTCTTTTTAGAGATTTTTTTTTTACATTTTATGCTTGACCATGAAAGTTTTATGTAAGTTTATACGTAATATTTGCTGTTTTTATTAATGTTCATATATTAAATACTTTTCAAGATGCAATTTATTTTTATTTTTATTTTGAAAATTGGTCCAGTGACAGACTTCTGTTACGTTTTTTTTTCGCATCATTTGAATGTGACACATTTTGAAACTTGGTCTCTCAACTCAGAGACACACCTATTTCATACCATATCTCACTGTGTTGTTCATCTTCCACCTTCATGGCTGAATTAAATAAAAAGAGAATTTTATATTAAAAAGCTAATCCTTTGGAGTTTTCAAGTGCAAAATGAAGATGCAACTCTGAAAACTTTAAGGACCTTTGGCAGGACCAGTGATCTACATGCTGACATCCCTAAAGGAGAGTTTAAATTCACTGGAAATATTAATGTCTCAATCTCTTCTTTTCTTTTTTTACTTTTTTTTTTTTACTAACTATGTCGTCACTATTTACTGTAAATGTTTTCTATTTTGAAAATGTTAAAGTGTTAAGTGTAAAAAGCTAAGCAGCTGTTTCTATGCTCCTCTCTCTGTTAGTCCTGAAGAAATGTCCAGTCCTGAAGCTGAAGTGTCCGCGGGGACAGAAGGAGGCGGACTTCCTGAACCTGCTAAGATCCACCTGCCCGCAGCTGGCCGGAGACAACAAACCTTTTGACATCTTAACGTTGGACAAGAAGCGTAAATTACAACCTCTGAAACTGGAGACGCTGACGCCAGAGGAGATCCACAGAAGCATTATGGGATGGGGGCGGTCTACGGTCTACATTCGACTGAAGGTAGTTTAGACTCTGTAACCTTTGAGGTGGAACAGCACTTTTTTTTATTAAGCAGTATTTCTTTTACGTTGTTAGCGCTGAGTGTTTGTTTTTGTTTTTGTTTTTTGTTTTTCAGACTCAAGAGGTGCATCAGCCCAGAGAAGAAGACCTTCATCGTCTTCAAACTGAAAACATGAACTCTGTTGTCTTAACTAATGATGAGACCAGACAACAGACGAGGTAACTCACAAAAAAGCATCGCCTAGTGATGTAAAATATCTGGACAGTCAACACATGTTTTGGATGTTACGGATCGGCTCGTGATTGTTGCTCCAGTTCATCCCATTCGTGTTGGATTAGGTTGAGTTTACGACACAGCCACACCAAACTGGAAAAATATTTTATTAAGGTTCTGGTTTTGTAAATTTGGAGATTATCATGTTTCAATCTGGAAAGTGAGACGTCCCAAACATGTGTCAGTGAGGCGTTATGTGAGTAGTGAGGCATGAAATATAACCAAAGAAATGCAAATGGAGTACCAAATTGGTGGATTTGAAGGTTTCTTGGATGCTAAAATCCAGTCATCTGGAACCCATTTTCTAGTATGCTGACTTAGTCACTGGAGCAAGTGTCAATTTTTGGGGGTATCATTGAATAGCCGGCAGATATCCAAGCTAGGGCTTCCTGTTTTGTTCACCAGCCAGCCTTTACAAGCACAAAGTCATTGTCAGCTGATGACCATTAGGGGCTTTTGGTGACCCTTTGTGTCCAGTGATTATTTAGTCCAATCAAAATTTAGGCTCAGCTGGAAGCAGCATGTCTTTTAACTGTAGCCAAGTTACAAATTAAGCTTGCCTCAAATTAGTCCATGTAAGTGCAGAAAAGGCAAGGTACTTAAAGCGAACATCTTTCATTCTGTCAGTCAAAAAGTGGACTTGGCAGCCACTTAAAGTTCTGGAGCTTTTGTGCCTTAAACTCTTTCTAACTTTGGTTAAGGGCAGTATTAGACTTGAGATAAGATTGGTGAACTCTCCACAGTGAACTTTGCCTCTTGCCCCACTCGGACTGTAAACTCGACCACAATCTTGAAGAAAATGCATGGATAATGGCATATATCCAGCTTGTTGTGACTCTCGTGCGTTTTTCACGGTGCGTTTTTCACGGTTAGCAGATTGTTTAGTCTGTCTGCTTCGAGAGGAGTGGGCAGAATATGCCTCAGCCTAGAGTGCCAAGGAGTGCAAGAACATTGAAGAAAGGCTTTTACTTGGCTTTAAATATTTGTTCCCAGCAAAATTAGATTTTGTACTTAAAAATTTCAAAACATCTTCAGGTTTCACGTTTGGCAGTGTAGCACTGTCTTATCATACTGTACTCTATTGTAATGTTGACTTTAAACCCAGTTAATTTTTGCTTCTGGTTTCTGCAGCAGCCTTGCCCAAGAGGTTGATGGCAGGAAATCAGAGATTGCGTCTGGCAGAGAAGAAAATGAGATAGAAATGGGAGAAGCTGATAGTGAAGAACCTGCTGCAGATCTTATAGCCGGCTCTTCAGCTGAGGGGAAAGAAAGTTTCAGGAACTGCAACAAAAGGAAAGAAGAAAAAGTAGAAAGGAATGATAAGTCCAAAAATGAACTGAAGAGTTGTGATTCCAAAATGCAGTCCAGGGTGTCAAAAAAGCAAAAGATCAGACATCCTGGCGTCACTCGGACTAAGACTGAGAAAAGTGTTGCTAATCTTTCCTGCTTGGTCTGTGGAGCTCTGCACATGTCAGAAGTTATGCTTGTTAAACATGCCTGGAGTCACGGAAACGATCCAGGAAGTGTTTGCGGAGCATGCGGAGAGCGCTCAGAGTCTGTGGAGGTCTTAAAGGATCATCTTCAAAGTCGACACAAAACTGATGACTGTCACATCTGTGGAGAGTCTTTCCTTAGTGCTCTCAGCCTCGACGAGCACGTAGCCTGCCACTCGGGGGAGAAACCATACAAATGTGATGTTTGCCATAATGAATTTGCACTAAAGGCTTCCCTGGAGGATCATCGAAAACTTCACGAGGAGGGGAAGCGCCACAAATGTCTCACCTGTCATAAAGTGTTTGAACTCAAAGAGCAGTTAAAGGCTCATCACAGGACTCACAGCAACAGGAAGACACACCTCTGCGGTGTGTGCGGTAAATCCCTCTGCGACTACAGATCGTTGTCCCGCCACAAAATGACCCATTCTGGGGAAAGACCCCACAGCTGTAAGATTTGCGGGAGGCGTTTTAAACTTCCTGGGACTCTGAGGCAACACGAGAAGATTCACACAAACAGAGAGAGGTCATACCTCTGTGACATTTGCTGCAAAATGTTCCTGACTAGTGCGCAGCTGGAGATCCACATGAGGATTCACACCAACGAAAAGCCGTATCACTGCAGCGAGTGTGGCAAGGGATTCAGCACCAAGGGCCCGTTGACCGTTCACAAGCGGGTCCACAGCGGGGAGACGCCCTACCACTGCCCAGACTGCGGCTGGTCCTTCAAACGCAAGACCAACCTAGACAACCACTTAGTGCTTCACTCGGG